TGTGTGTGTGTGTGTGTGTGTGTGTGTGTGTGTGTGTGTGTGCGCACAACCGCCTTGGCACACAGTCGAGTATGAAACACAGAGAACACACGTGATAGGCAGATACAACGACCAGAAACAGGCAACGCATATGGATAGATTATAGTAGAACATAAGAGTCGTCCACCTGGCACTGAGTTATCAGAAGGCTGAACCCTCGACAGTCTGGAGAACCCTTGCTCCCCGCAAGAGGCGGGGAGCATTCAACGGCATCTTTCCAGACGGATCTGGCTGCACTTCGGCCCAGGCCATTTTCATGTACACGAGTGGAAACAATAAAACTATCGCCGCTTTACATTCCAGCTGCTGGCAGCAGTCCAGAATAAGGGCGGTACCTGTGCCAAGCATCAAATGTCCCATGTTGGCTCCTGCCCCCGACAGGCTTGGCAAAAATCGGCACGCAGGGCATATTCAGGATCGGCTTCAATAGCTGGGCCAAGTACTGGTGGTTTTAAAAAAAGAAGGGGGAAGAAACACCCCTTCCTCGGCACCCATTTCCTAACACCTCCTGCCAGCATTGACTGCCCAAAGGAGGCTGGGGGGTCCGAATCTTGTACCTTGGTGGCACCTGATAACACCAAAGTACTGCCCTATATTCTGCACTCTTTTACATGGACATCCCCCATAAATCGACTTAAAAAACTGACACGGACCATGCCCCATAAATTGACTTAAAAACCTGACTCGGATCCGACCAGATACTATACTTTATCAGCCTGGTTTCTTATTGCCAGCAGGCATGAGAGGGAGAGAGAGAGAGAGAGGGGCGGCCGAAGGTGAGTCGGCCACCCTAATTTCGGCGGGTTGATCCTTAGATTAATTGCCTAAAGGAGGATTGGCTGGGACTTTCGTCTGAACAGTTGGGGAAAATTTGGGGTACCCAGAGCACCCCTAGAAATTGGAGGTGTCGACCGCTGAGACTAGCCCTCCAAATTGGCGAGAGGGACTACCTCTTCTGCCGCGCTGACGTCTACCTTATTTCCGCCCGCTCAGTGACACAATCTTGGGGGCACCAGCTGCCTTCCGAGGACACCACTAGGGCCCTCGGTGGGGGAAACAAGCATGGGGCCGGCAGGCGGCAGGCTTTCCCACAACCTTGGGGTCTCCAGCCGCCTTCCGAAGATTGCCACTAGGGCCCTCCATGGGGGAAATGTGCATGGGGCACCAGGCTTTCCTGCAAAGGGGAAGACGACATGCGTAGCCAACAAAATGTCACCGAGCGTGCAGCACCCCCTGAGCACAGCTCCCACGGAGGGCTCTATTGTTATCTGTTTGAACGGTCGACAATTGCAAGAAATGTAATTCACCCAAAAAGAAAAAAGAAATTTAATTCACCAGGGTATTGTGGTGGGTACGATTGTGAGTTGGACAGTAGCACCACTTTCGCACCTCTTGCTGTCACTGCTCCTTTGATGTTTTTTTTTTTTTTTTTTTTTTTTTTTTTTTTTTTTTTTTTTTTTTTTTTTTTGTGTGTGTGTGTGTGTGTGTGTGTGTGTGTTCACAGGACCATCCCTTCCTACTACCTCAACGTTCTTCTTTCCTTAGCGTAACCCCTGCTTCTCCATCTACGGGGGCACTTGTTGGCCCTACCTCAGATATACCGGGCAGCAGTTGCAGGCACCAGCGCTAGGCCAGGACACTCCTCCCAGCCTCTGTTGAAGCACTATCAAACACGCCTTCTCGTACGGGCACTTCGGTCGCCAAGTGTGATCGTCATATACACTTTCGGACTTTCCTATGAGCACCCGCTGATGGTTCTTGTCTCAGATTACCAGTACTTCCATAAGCCGTGCCCAGTAACAAGCCACCACAATTTTAGGAAATGTACGGGTCACTACAGGAGCACCCAAATCCATCTGACTAGAAACGTTTCTACTCTATTTTTTTTCCACAGCCAATAGCTGGGCCAAGAACTGGTGGTTTAAATTACAAGTACGTTCCTAATCCAAACTAGAAGAAAAAGCAGATCAGCCTCGAGAAATATATATTAAAGTTAATTAAACTACTAGTACCAAGATTGCATGCAAAATTAGCTTCAGTATTTTGGGTTTGGAAACTTGCTAACTTTCAAAGTTTCAAGAAAGAGAATTTTTTATGATATGCTAGGAATAATATACGAAAGTCATCCTTCTTTAAAACGTATTTTAATGCCTGAAAGTTGGCTTGGTTGACCTATGCATAAAGACTATATAACGCCTGAGTTTATGCATTGCAAGATGCGCTGAGGTGCAAAAGCATGGGGAGCAAACAGGATTAGATATATCCGGCCGGGCTCTAACAAAACACGGTCAAAGGTGTCCCCTCTAATCGTAAGATTAAAATGTGAAAAAAAAAAAAAAAAAAAAAAAGTGAGTCCAGCTATATCGGGAAAACATTCATTTACATTACTTGGATGGATCAATCCCAAGGGAAGTCCTGTGTTGATTTGATAAATATGAGCAAGAGGATCCCTTAGAGACTATGAAAAAAAAGTCGATAGAAGATATGAAAACAGTTTTGTTAAGCGGGCTGCATGTGCGTCATGTTTGGCGGGATGTACTGGCCTGCTGCTTCACAAAATATAAATTCAGGCAAAAAACACAGTGCGTGCACGACCCATTTTGCCTGGATGAATGTTTTGCGAACTGGCAGGCTGGTACATCCCACCAGATGCAGCGCGCATACGGTCGCGTCGGAGAAAAATGGCTGGAAAACATGCTGGTGGTCTAAGATAAAAGTATAGAGTACAGCGCTCCAGCAGATCGTGTAGTTGTATGCCCCACCATGGAAGGCAAAAAAACGTCACCTCTTTTCAAGTGTTCAAGGAATGGCTGACTGGTTTATTTTCTTTTGGGGGAGGGAGAAAGGGAGGAGGGGGGGATGGGAGGAGGGGGACGGGAGGAGGGAGGGGAAGAGTGTGGTTTGGTTGTGAATTGCATAAAGTTGCAAAAAAAAGGCCATCACTTTGGTGCCTCTCGTTGTCTTCCCACCTTCGAGGGGAGGGTTGAGAAAAATTACAGCGTGACAAAACTGTAAGCCTTGTCGGAACAGGCTGGGAAGTACGTCAGTAATCAACATATCCTGTTTTCCAGCAATGGATCGCTAACTTGGAAGGTGCATGTGGCCCTCTGTGTTGAGTAGGGTGTTTGCTATGTTGCGCTGGGAAGATGAACGCATAAGAAAGGGGTGCACGAAATGTTTAGTCCGTACAGTCGTGCACTCAGCTAGCGCTTAGAAATGCAGTGCTTTCCTTAAACCACCCGTACTTGGCCCAGCTATCGGCCGAGGAAAAAAATGAAGTAGAAACGTTTCTTAGTCGGATGAATTTGGTCGCTCCTGTAGTGGCTCATACGTTTCCTAAAATTGTGGCTTGTTAACGGGTACAACTTTAGGAAGTACTGGTGGTTTATTATCGTATTAGTGCAATTGTGCACCCCGTGGACGATTCTCTTTATATATAGACTTCAACACAGAGAGGTGGGCGCGCAATCCATTTCGCAAACCACACTAACCTCTCTTTCGTGAATGTCATTACTACCAGAGAGGGGCAATCTGAAATGTGGATGGTGAATAGTAGAGTTCAATGGAGAGTGTACTTGTCTTCAAGTCGATCTGCTATCGTGGAAGTCGTGGAGAAAGTCGTCGAGTAGTATGTGTTGAGGCTAAAAGTAGTGTGGGACGGTTGACGTGAGAAGTAATTACTTAGAAAGAGTTGTTTGTCGGAAGTCACGACGAGCTGGTATTAGGCCATGTGGTCCACCATGTTTTATGTTGGAAAAGTTGCAGGTTCTGTTTCATGCCAGGGGGCGCTGCCCCGAATTACCAGCACGTGCTGCTCCCCGTGATGGGAACGGAGCCATCATAACTGCCGAAGCTTCGATTAGGCTACCATCTTCCCCCAAACAAAATGCAGGCTCATCATGACTGTATGTGACAAGAAAGACGACTTTGTGACATCGATGATCGGGGTGCGATATGTCCGGCAGAGGATCGTAGGGCTCTTACGCCTTGCCCGATGGAGGGTCGTCTGTGCTGATGCTACTCTGGAAACAACAGAGAAACAGACCATGCAGCTTCGGATAGATTCAGGTAGACCAAGTAGTCGCGGGGTCCGAGGCGCGCACAACTTTTTTGGAGGGTACGGCCAATTGGTATAATAAGGCCAAGTAGTTGGGGATGAACGAAGCGGTTGCTAGTCTAAAGCGAACTGGCTGAATGAATGTCAAATCTGCCTTGTTGTAACATTCTGATTCCATCGGAATTCGAACTCATGACCTGTTTATTAAAAGTTACCAGAGAGGTTCGACTCGGCGAAAATGAATCATCCTATGCTAGACGTATGAGGTCTTTGCTCTTTTCCTACACTGTTCATTTCCAGAGTGTGATGGTGGTCCCCAGGAGTCTACTGTTTGTAATGTGAGTGTGCCCTTTAAACCACCAGTACTTCCTAAAGTCGCGCCCGTTAACGCTATGCGATTTTAGGAAACGTACGGGCCACTACAGGAGTGCCCAAATTCATCCAACTAGAAACGTTTCTACTCATACTCTATTTTTTTCCGCGGCTGATAGCTGGGCCGAGTACTGGTGGTTTAAACCGCAAGTACTTTTCACAGGCAAATTTATGAAACATGACAACACAAATGAGCCCATGACTCTATGGCAGCAGGTAACTATGGACAGGCTTCCTATTCAGCTGCATTTAAACCACCAGCAATTTCACACTGTCAGGCAAATTTCTGAAACATGGCCTGCCATGGGTGAAAAATTCATCCAGGCAAAGCGCTGCTGTGGGTGAAATGTTCATCCAGGCAAGCTGCCGTTTTGGCTGGATGAACTTGTCCCTACATCGGCAGGGCAACATGTCACTAAAGATGCAGGGCATGCACGGTCGTGTTTCAGAAATTTGGTAGCTTCACCCTCTCTCTCTCTCCCCCCCTTTCTCTGCCCCCTCCAAAGCTCGCTGGTCATTCGGAGGCGGTTCCGTACTCTGCTGTCAGGATGCCATGCCCAGGGCTACTGCCTTAGACAGAAAAGACCCCATCACACCTAAAAGGTGAAACAGGCTAGGGCACTCCCTAACCTCGACCCCCTCACACCAAAAGGGTGAAGCAGGCTAGGATACTCTCTAACCTCGACCCCCTCACGGAAACCTACATGTGATCCTGCGACCCCCTCACACCAAAATGCGGCTGGAGTGCCCTAGCCTGGAGTTCCCTTCAGGCTAGGGCACTCCTTGATTCATCTTCTCCTTCTCCTTCAGCACAGCCATTATGCTGCTACCCCGCTACCCACCTGCCGATTCTGCCCCGCCACCCCGGTACCCCGGACATCATGTGATCCTGCGCGGTCTTGCAACTTCGGAAAACACACGGGGATGCCCCCCGTCTACCCCCTCTACCCCCTCTACCCCCTGCGTTTGCCACAAATTTCCGGCGGATTTGCGGAATGTGGGCACTTTCCAGTCGGAATTGGACGTGGAAAGTCCTCGGTCGCTTGTCCACGCGACTCTTTTCGGCCTGGTGGGGTCTGGGATCCCCCAAGAAAAACGACTTCCAGGCAGTGGGGGCTGGGATCCCCCAAGAAAAACGACTTCCAGGCATTCTTCCACTGCCTGGGGGGTCCGAGAGAACATCCCTCAGGGTGTTTTTTTTCCGAGTTTTTCCCCTGTGGGGTCCCCACCTCTTAGTAGAGCGAGGCCATTCAGTGGGTGGGGAAAGGGAGGTGGACCATCACGGACTTTCGTCGTTAGCTGGATATCATCGGACTTTCGTCGTTACTTGGATATCACCGGACTTTTGTCGTTACCTGGATATCATCGATGTGGATGTACAGGAGGCCGCCTACACGCGGCAAGGTGCCACTTGCACGGATTAAGCGATTCTGACCGTTGATCTGTGCTATCTACGGTCAATATCTCTTAATTCGTGTAAGTGGGACCTTGCCCACGGTAGGAGCTCCGCCTGGGGGCTAGGTCCCACTTCCGCGAATTAAGCGATATTGACCGTACATAGCCAAGATCAACGGCCAGAATCTCTTAATCGGTGCAAGTGGGACCTTGCCCCGGTGTAGTAGCTACAGCGCCGGTGGGACGAGCAGCGCGGGCGGGCAGGCCGGCCTGCTCTATTGAGGTGTCGGTGCACCTGCCAGCTGCCTTCGCTGCTGCGCAGTACTCACACAGGAGGGCGCAGGCAGCGGAGGCCGCTACCATCGCCGCCGCCATCGCCGTGCAACGGGGAAGACGCCTGTTGCAGAGAAGTCTGCTTGACGTAGCCTGGTGCTCTGTTGCGGCACTTGCTAGCTATGGCGTTCACTTCGTCCGTCGCTCGACCGCAAATCGGCCTGGTAAACTCTCTCTTTCTCTCTCTCCCTCCCTCCCTCCCTCTCCCTCCCTCTCCCTCCCTCTCCCTCCCTCTCCCTCCCTCTCTTCTTTCTCTCTTTGTCGTTTCTTCCCCTCCTCTGCGATTTCTCTCCCTATCATGTTCCTGTGGTTGGTTTCCCCTCCGCGGTTAAAGGCTTAAAGCCTATCTCTGCCAATTGCACGTGGGCTTGCTCGTCGGCCTCAGCTGCCGGTAGCCAGCATTTTCCATCCTGCCCGCCACGTGGCAGCTCCCTTTTCTACATCCCAGTGTCATCATCAGCATCAGCAGCGTTCCTTTTTAAGAAATTTACTGTATTTTTGTTTATTTCTTTGTGATGGGTTTCGTCCTTCTTTTTTTTGCTCTCGTCCTTTCGATAGCCTTGTTGGCCTTTTTTTTTTTTCAGCCTGTTTTTTTTCGCCCCCTTTTTTTTACGGCTTTTTTTTTCCGGTTTCCTCTGCTTTTGGCAGGTCGTGGTCAGGAACCTGGGCTTAGTTGTGGTCAGATACATCCCAGCACTCTCTTACGCCGCCAGAGGGAAGATGACAGACAAGGCTCGTCTGCTTCTCTCTCTTAGGGGGATATCTTCACACTTTCGGTAGGACTTTCTGGGACGTATCTGGCCTCAGTTAAAGTCCGGTTCGTGTGCAAAAAGTGCACCAACTTGGCCTTGTGCTCATCCCCTCCCCCGCCCCCCGTGCACCTCCTTTTGCTTTTTCTTCTCTCTCCCGCGTTATTTAAAAAAAAAAAAAAACCCGCGACCGAGCTCAGCTCATCTCCCGCCTTTTTTTTTTTTTTTTTTTTTCCTTCTCTCTTTTCCCGCCACTCACTCTCAGTCCTCCTTCCCGTTCTTCCCTCCTCTGTACTTTTAGTATCATTCTAGTCTCGGGGGTCAAGTCCCACTACCGGTAGCAGCGTTGAGCTACCTCAACGCCTGAATCTGGACGCTTTTGCGGAGAGGTGCAGAAATGGTGTTGAGTTTCCTGAACTGCACGGCTGCACAAACACGTCCAGATTCAGGCGTTGAGGTAGGTCAACGCTGCTAGTGGGACTTGGGCCCCGCGCTCTGTCCTCTTTAATTTTTTTTTTTCTCGATTATGGCCCTCGCCGCAGCGCTCATCAAATATGCGAAATGTGCATGCAAGATGCCTTTTTTTTTTTTTTTTTTTTTTTTTTCCTCTACAAATACGGATTCTTGTCATCGCTAAGTTTCCGACTGCAAAAAAAAGAAAAAGACAAAATTTCAGACTGCCACGTGTTCTCCTTTTCGATAAAAAGTACACGTGGCAGTCTGTCTGAATTTTCTTAAACTCTCTCGGTGAAATATTTTAATCAGCGGCGACGATGATGGGATTAGATCGAAACGGCGATGATGGGATTACGTGGGCGACTCCTCTTCCTCCTCCTCGTCGGCGACCCCCGGGGCCAAGGCCCACTAGCAGCGTTGAGCTACCTCGACGCCTGAATCTGGACGTGTTTGTGGAGACGTGCAGTTCAGGAAACTCAACACCATTTCTGCACATCTGCGCATAACCGTCCAGATTCAGGCGTTGAGGTAGCTCAACGCTGCGAGTGGGACGTTGCCCCCGGGCTGTGAAGAAAAATAGCCACGCATTAAAAAAAAAGAAAGAAAAAAAAAAGGAGATGTAACGTCTCTAATATAGTAATTCAAGCGACTGTCCAGGGGGGATGGATCGGATTTAAATTTGTTGAAGAGCTGGATTCGATTTTTACAGTATTAACTATTTATAATTTTAGAGACTTTGTTATGTTTCTTTGTCTGCTTCTTCTTCCTTTTTTTTTTTTTTTTTTTTTTTTTGATGGATAACGTTACCCGTTTATTGGTTGGCCGCGGGGAGCTGCACGTGGTCGTCGAAGCCGTCTTCATCGTCGAACCCGAATAGAACGCCCGGTCATTATCGACGCATGTGGACTGAAAGTTGGTCCAAATACAGCTACAAGGATCGGGCGTTCCATTCAGGTGAAGACGGTACAACAGCTAGGTTTGTGTGGTGGCTAGTATCTATAGTTGATGTGGAACGTGTCCCAGTAGGCTATATAGCTTAGCAGACTATGGTTAGCTTTGTCTGGTAGATAGTTTTTTAAGCTTTTTTAGCTGCGGTAGAACTTGTTCCAATAGGCTAGCTTAGCCTAGACTATAGTTAGCTCTGCGTGGCCGTAGTACTCGTTCCAATAGGCTATATATTGTAGAAGAAGAAGAAGAAGAAGAAGAAGAAGAAGAAGAAGAAGAAGACTATAGTTAGCTTTGTGTGGTACATAGTTAGATCTTTGTTCCAATAGGCTTAAGCTTAGAGAGTATATAGTTAGCTCTGTGTGGCCGTAGAACTTGTTCCAATAGGCTAGCTAGCTTAGAAAAAGACTATAGTTAGCTTTGTGTGGCGGTAGACCTTGTTCCAATAGGCTATAGCTTAGAAGAAGACTATAGTTAAGCTTTTTGTGGTACATAGTTTCTCTAGTTGCCGTAGAACTTGTTCCGAAAATAGGCTATAGCTTAGCAGACTATAGTTAGCTCTGTAAGGTGGTAGTACTTGTTCCAGTAGACTATATTGCTTAGAAGAAGACTATAGTTAGCTTTGTGGTGTACATAGTTAGAACTTGTTCCAATAGGGAATTGGTTCGTATGCACTGTGCAGGTGTTTAAATATTGGAATGATGTGGAAATGGAAATAGTATGGAAATATAGTAAGGAAATATAGGGTCAGATCCCACTACCCTGGATTATTCATTTTTCACCCTCGATTACGATGATCAACGGTCAGAGAAATGAACAATAGGTGCTAGTGGGATCTGGCCCATAGTATGGATCAATGAGAGATGGGCTTTCGCTTCAGTCGGGGCCGTACGCTAAGCTGAGCAAAGCTCTCAGGAGCTACTCCGGGGCCCAAGTCACTCTGATTCTTCATTTCTGGCCGCTGATCATCATCGTAATCTACGGTCAGAAATGAAGTTGAGAATTTGGGTAAGTGGGACTTGGGCCCGAGTAGATTTGTGAGGGGCCCGGGCTGCAAAGCAAATTTATTTGCACATGTGAGATGTAATCATACGATAAATGTTTTTTTTTTTCGAAAAAAAGAAAAAGGTACTATTGAGAAAAAGCAAAAGGTCATCTTCTGTGAAGGGTTCCAATTTTAACGGATGTCCCGAAGGACAGTCTTTTGCTATTATCTTCCAAACAACAAAAAGAAAAGAAAAAAGTTAAAAAAACGGATTGATGTTTTTTTTTTTTTTTTTTTTTTT